ATGTGTAGTTTCATCTTACAATTTGAAGTCATTCTAGAAAGAAAAAGTAACGTAGAATTATTTTGATTTTTTGGTCATTACAACATCAGTCAAATTGATCAACCTCATATAAAGTTAGGGTAGAGAAAATAACAGATAAAATATAAAGTTTTACTCAAAAACCTTTTTGAAATTTAGTTAGGAGATTTTAGAGATTATGCAAATAAAGTTTGAGATTTTATAGATGAAGAAAAGTAATTTTAATTGTAACATGAAAAGCACTTTGTACTCAGAACAGTCAACACTTTGACACCATTTATTCATAGAGAAATATTTAGTGAAAAACTTCATCAAAATTTTTGATTTTTTGTCTACAAATGACTCTTGATTATTGAATGCTTGTGAAATTACGTGAAGATACAAACATATTAGAAATTATAGTATGGAAACTATAAAGGTCAATTTTAGGTCACGAACTCACATGAAATGACCCAGCCTGTAGCAAGAAAGTTAATGCAGCATTCTATTATCCTTGGTTACCCACTAGCTCATAACAGTCTGTCCAAATTTCATCACCACTCCTTTAACTGTGTATAATCTACGCCTTAGGGAAGAGATAATACAGTAGCCTAGCTAGGCAAATTTAAACTCTTTTGAACAACCATTTTGTCATGTAACCTTAGAATCAGGCAAGGAATGATATCAAGTAAGAATAAAATCTGGCAATTATCAACTGCTACAAAGCATCCTGTCTGACTTGCAGGCATCTCCTGTTCAGGAAGTGCAGTTTAGAGTTTACTTGTACTATATTTTAAATTAATTATACTAAGCACATAACATATATTAAAGTGCAATTTGAAATTTTTAAAAAGGTCATCAGTAATTATTCTCATGGCAAGTATACAAAAAGTCGTATATATTTTAAAAAAAAAAATTAAATTATTACTGAAAGTAATCAGTTTGGAAATTAAAAAATAAACAAGTATAAAGCAAGAAAACTTAACTTCATGCAGTTATTTTTATTTTTGTATTACTATCTTATATTTATGGAAAAGCTACTAAAGTTACCTGCTGCTGTACTTAATTTTGAACAACCAACCAGATGGAAGGCAACCAATAAGCAGCACCTTACCACTCAGCAACTAAGGAATTTACAGTTACTCTTATAATCCACCCACAGCTTAAAGTGCAAGGAATATTTATGGTATCAAATGGATTCAACCCAGTTTGCCAGCTCCAAAATTCAGAGAACTCTACCATTTTTTCTTGTGTTCTTTTCATTTTTTATATTGAATTTTAGTGCATTTATTTCTGACTTATTAAGGTTCACTAAAATTATCTTTTTATTTCACTGAAAAATAATTAGTTATCTTTATATACCTTTTCTTTAATTTTGATACAAGTCAAAACTGAATACCCCTTTGCCCTGTTGATAAATTCAAATTACTTACACTTTTGCCTATGTTAAAAACAATATTTATTCCATCAATGTATTTTTTTTATTGTTCTGTAAAGAGATTCTTTTAAAATATCTTGACTTAGAGAGTGAATAAAGAAAAATGGTCAATCTTTTTTTTTCTTTTATGATTACCAAAGAATTCATATAAACAAAAAACAAAAAATCCCTTCATGTCAAAAGAAAATAATAACCTTTCATTGTCAATGCTTTAAGATCTTGAGTTACTAATATTGTGAAAAATTTGTACCACAGTAATAAGTGTTGCTGAATTTTTAATCCACTTTGTCTAAATCTAAGACTTTGCTTCTATAACAAATGTGGTCTGAGTCACAATTGTGAAAAATACTAATACTTCTTTCTACAATTTTCCAAACTTTAATAAAAAAACTTACTTGGGCTGCTATTTTTCCTTTTCCCATTCTCAAGTCATTACGTACAATAAGTACCAATTTGCATTCTCCTTTCCAGTCAGAAAAACTCTAATAAAATAAAGCATTTTATATATTCTTGAGAAATCCATCATAAAATGTGTTACACAAAGTTGTAAACTACACTTTTAAATCAAACATTCAGGTCAATAAGGTAATATTTAGTTGCAGTTCCCTGGAAAACTCATTTAAAATATTACTAACTAAAAATTATATCTTTTTTTACAAATTTCTCAAGTTTCAGACAATCCCAAAGTACCATATTTACGTGTATGTGCATTCAAGAATATTACAAAGAACTGAGTACATTATATTAAAACAATTTTGAATAAACATATCAGCAAGTCACATTACAACCACAGCTGATATAAAGCTATGGTGGCATGGCATGTATCACAACTACATTTTGACATTGTCAAGTGTTTCATAGGTAGAGTGATACCACAGTAAAGTGATTACAGTTGAAAAGGGTTTGAAACAGCCCTTTCCCAAGCACAATATTCATACATTCAGAACTTGAAGATGGGTTCAAGTTAGGGATTTAAAGCTTTCAAGATGAGAATATCCTTTGTACTTAATGGAATTGGAAAAAAGAAAAGGAAAATGGATCAACTTGGGGAACTAAGGTCATCCAGAAAAAGACCTGAAATAAATTGTACCTCAGTCATGATAAGCAAAGTCCAGCACCTTGTAACAGGTGCAATTTCACAAACAAAGGGTAGTGGCAAAAGTGGTCCATGTGCTCTAGGCAACATAATCAAGAAGGATCTCCACTTGGAAAAACAACACAAATCATATGTACACAAGTCACTTACATGACATATTCATTAAATGAAAACCAACTGTATGAATAATAATATCTAGCTGGGGAAAAAAAGGCAGTATATGGTGAAACTCTAAGAATCATATACACCTCAATAGCTGTAACAAGTTTCTTGCCATTTTCTAAGGATCAATAAGTGAAAAAAATGTGCAAAAGTGGTACATGACATGTTATGGCACCTTTTTGAAGAAACTCATGATGATTGGATACTCAGCCAGAGGCAAGTTAAGGATCAGGAAAGTGGAAAAAAGGTTGAAGGTAAACTCTGTGTACTATCAGACATATAGTCTGAATCCTATGCACTATAAAGAAGTATTTATAAACAAATTAGGCCAACAGGGTAGAGTCACCATGATATGGCATCCAATTAATAAACCCCTCAGCTATAAAATGAAATGGGCATTCATGCTATTACATATAAAGACATACTGATCAAACCACTAGACACAAAACTGATGGTTTTCAGTGGAAAATCATTGTCCTCAAACTAAATGGATTATGAAGATCCAGCAGTGTGCTTTGAATACAACAGCGTTTTGCAAAATAAACTATGCTGCAGGGTTATTGTCACGATGCAGTCATCATGGCGACATACTGTTAAAAGATGGTGAAACTCCGAAAATGTTTTAATATAATGCACTGAACCCTCTATGCATTGCTTTCTGATAACCATTGCATTTCCAATTACCTATTTTTTCTCATTAAAATTTTGTTGTCCTTACAAGTTACAACCCCTTTTTAAAAAAAAGTTTTTTTTATTTTTATTGTTTATTGTTATTTGCATCTGATATTGTTATTAATTTGGAAACTTCTTGTTACCTTTCAAAAAATTAAAAACCTCAGAGTAAGTATGAATTTATGTATTTAAATTTTGAACAAGTTTTTTGTTGTTGTACAAAGTATACACACAAAGCTTGGAATAATTCATAATCAGTAGAGCTCACTGTATTTCTATATTTCACTTACATGTGAGTATTTGTATGTATTTTTGTTTCACACTTCATTTCTTTCACAAACTATTTTAGTTCTAAACTTACTAAATAATTTCATTTATAATTCAAAGTAAAATTAACTATAAATCATTTACAGTGTACAACTTATAAATTTAAAACAGATAAACCAAGTGTATAGAGTGTGGTATTTCCCATTCAACAGTTTTCCCACACAGTAGTCAGTTAAGCTCACTACCTGGAGGTTCACAGAATACTGGACCATGGAATATAGTGATCTATAACTGGGATTACCTAGAAGAAAGACTCAGCATAGATATATGCACAAGTATACAAATATTTATTTACAATAAGAAAATTTAACATTTTCCAACAGTGAAAATGTATTTCTAATAGATACTTACCTCTTCTCACATAATAGCTTTCCATGATTTGTGCTGCCATCTATGTCTGGAAATTTTCACTCCCACCTAACTCCACATGATTACATGTAGTATAGGTGCATCGTAGCATACAAATGAGCATGCAACAACCTTCCACTAATAGTAAGTATTTATCAGAAATACATTTTCAATGTTGGAAAATTTTAACTTCCGATACAATATCTTTCACCATCGCATAATAGCTAGAATCCCATATTGAAATGGTGGAGGGCCTGGTGCAAAGGTTACTTAGATAAGTAGTCTTAGGAAAGTGTCTGAAGAGAACACATGGAGTGTGATACTCTAATATATAGGGTCACACCCACGGGAGACTGCCTCAAATCTATACCAGGGTATATTGTTCACTCACTGTAAAGATATGCGCGCTAATCTAGGCAGTTGCATAGAGTGGCTGGGGCACATCAGACTGTATTCGATGGGTAAACTCCAGTCCAAAGCCAGGCAGCATCAGGTATGTGTCTTTCAGTGTGCAGTAGGAGGAGGATCTCAACCGTATTTCCGGGTGGTGGTAGGATGGGGAAAAGTCAGCCAGAGGGGTGAACTGCATGTGGTGGATTCATCCAGTACAAAACCAGGCAGCATCAGGTTTCTGTCTTCTGGTCCACAGTAAGAAGAGAGTACTCACCATCTACACCAACAGAACACCACTCCTCTACTCTTGACTGAGTGAAAGTGGTCACACTCAGGAGGGGAAGCCTCCATGAACCACTACCCCAGCAGCTAGGAACTAGCTATGGCAACGACTCCTGTACTCCACTAGAAGAGAGAGCAAACATGAGGTGGAGAGTCTGATAGAATGCAACACCTTAAGACTGTGCAATTGGTGACCATTAAAATCCTGTTTTGAAAAGCAAGCTGATCTCAATTTATTCAATTAGAACTGGAGGGATGGGCAGCAACCCCAACACTGCTTTACTCACAACAGTCCATTAGTTGGTACAGTCTAAAAAAAGACATTATTTATGAAGCAAATTAACACAAGAAACTCTTGATCAGTCTTATGGAACACCTTATCTCATCAGTTAGCATTATAGACTCTAAAGTTCTCATGGTGCAGAGTTAAAGTTATGTATACCCCAACAGGCAACATTCACCACAGAGCAGGATCCAGGGATTTAGAAAGAGCCCATTCAGGACCTGTATGGGATACGGAGAATGGCAATGGGTGGCAAACAATATCCAGATGACGAAGGGATTGTGAAAGAGGAAGTGGCATGGAGGGAAATGAATGAAGAAGGTTCAAGAGTGGAAACCATGGCTGTGCTGGCCAGAAAGGAACAATAAGAAGGACCAGACACAGAGGGTGTGAATAAGTGACAGGACTCAGGGGTAAAGAATGAATAGGAGGGTACGCATATGGATAAAAACTGGCCCAATCCTGACTGAATGCATCCTAGTGAGCTCCAAAATACTGATATGTAGAGTCAATTCAACCAAAGACCAACAACTGATGATCTCCTGAGAATCTAAGTATGCTCCCCACCCTGTCAGAGATGCATCTATAAAGAGATGAATATCAGGATGAGGAGAAGGAAGAGGAATACCAGCTGAGGTGTTGGCTCCATCAAGCTACAAAGCAAAATCAAATTATAAGATGGAAGGAAGAAAAATGGAGGAATCCAAGGGATCCTGAGCAAGGACTATTGATCATGCAGCACCCATTGAAGACAATGCATGTGTTCATAACCCTAAGGGACAAGGGATGTCATGGAAGCTCAAGTCTCCAAAAGAGAGAGAACCTCACGTGCTGGAAAAGAGAATACGACGTGGCTTTGGATATCAAGTACTCCATATCCTTCAAAGGAGAAGGCTGGTCTTTGCTGTGGTAGGAGTTGACCCCCCCCCCCCAATGAATAAGGTATTGAGTGGGGGTGAGCTATGACTTCTCCAGTTTGACAGGCCACCCCAAAGATCTGCCTCCTAAAGAAGGAGATGGATATGGTTGTGAAAGGCTTGCTGTGAAGGAGCCAAAAGAAGCCAATCATCCATGTAATGGTGAAACAGCAGTCCTAGTTCAGTTTATGAATATGATTAGCAAAGGCTCTGATGACACCACAGAAGATGTATGGAGCCAAAGCCAGACTGAATGGTAGAGCATGGAATTGAAACATCTGCCCCCCTCCCCATGAACAAATTGAAGGTAACATCTGGATGCAGGAGAAATAGGGATATAAAGGTAAGCATCCATGATGTAAAACTTGGTCATCCAAAGACCTGGAGTAAAACCATTTGAGGCTGGGAAAAGATTCCATGGTGAAATGAGAGAGGTTGATGATGCAGTTTATATTCAAGAGATCAAAAGCTGGATGCCAATCCCATCTTCTTGGGGACAATGAACAGACGGGAATAAAACCCTGGAGAAGGGAGTAACACCTGTTTAATAGCATCTTTCTGCAAAAGATCCAAAACTGCTTCAGAAAGATGGTGGCAAGAGTGTGGATCCCTAGAAGTAGGGAAAGAAATGGGAACTGGAGATAATGGGAGAGGAGAGGAAAAACAAAGAATCAGACCATTTGCTAACACCCAGAGAATCTAACAATCTGCTACAAAAGGATGTCACAGATGATAGATGAGTAAACTGGGCCAACCACACCCCCACTAAGCCGAAGCCTAAGAAGGTAGTCTCTGATGATACTGGCATCTTAAAAAGTGGTGATGGGACATTTGACCACTAAAAGCCAAAACACGGGATGGTGGGACAGTGAAAGGGGAAGAAGTTGAAGGTTGAGAAGCAGGGATAGGATCAGGAGATCATTGAGAAAGTTGGGAAACAAGAAAAGAAATAGAGGAATTGTGGTGCACACAAGTTTCTAAAGAATCGGAGACATCTCCAAA